ACAATAGCCATCATACGGTTTCAGCCCTCTGGACTAGTCCCTGCGTTGTGTTTGAAGGATGATGTGGGAGTGTCATATATCACTCTGTTGATTTCATTGGTTAAGCAATAAAGAAACTCCTTGGCCCTGATAGGTTAAAACATAGGTGGGAGGAGTAAACAGAACAGGATGCTGGGAGGAAGAGGAAGTGAGCTCAGACTCGACAGCTCTGCTCTGAAGCAGAGACGCCATGCTCCGCTCTCCCGATAACTCTGCTCTCTGAGGCACACATGATGAAGCTCCGACCCAGGATGGACGTAGGTTAGAATCTTCCCGATAAGCGCACCTTGGGGTGCTTACACACATTATTAGAAATGGGCTAGTCCAGGTGCGAGAATTAGCCTAGAAGAGGCTAGATAGAAATGGGCCAAGAAGTGTTTAAATGAATACAGTTTGTGTGTTGTTATTTCGGGCATGAGCTAGCAGGCGGCTGGGGTGCTGGGGACACAGCCCCGCCGCTCATATTACTACAGAAGGATTTTGACCATTTGCATTTATATAAGTATTGATTTGTTAGGAATGATTTTAAGGGCAGTTATAGCACAGTACTACACTAAATGTTTTAAAATCCAGAAATGTGGACATAGGATGGAACTTGGTGGTAAGGTGCACCAAAGCCTGTGCCAGGCCTGGGGTAGATCACAGCACAAAAACAGAAACCTACATCATATTCTTGATCAGATCTGGAGGCCAGAAGCCTGGCATTTGGTGATATATTAAGGTCATATATTCTCATATTGATGAGAAATTTAGCATTGTGAGCACAGGAACTTGGCTCTCCTGAGGACCCTCTGAGTCACAGGTGGAACATTTCATGTTATCTCTGGGTGGGGGGAGCCCAGCCCCACTATCCTCTCAGTTTCCATCCATGCTGACAATGTTTCAGCCAGGTTTTCATCATCGCCTTAAACACACTGAGGACAACTTAAAGAAGAAGGAGTTATTTTAGCTCCCGGTGTCAGAGGTTCTGCCCACGATGGTTTGGTCTCATGGCTGAGGGCCTGTGGTGAGTAGAGTATCATGGCAGAGAAGGTTAAGTGGAACAGCTGGCATCTCGTGCCGTCAAGTAAGCAGAGACGAGGACAAGGTGTTCCCCATGACTAATTTCTACCAGCCCTGGCCTCGGTCTGCAGTCTCTGAAATAGGGCTGTCAGCTGGGACTAAGCCTTCCACACAACCTGTGGGGGAAGCTTCAGACCCATCCATGACTGTGTGAATCAACTTCACACCTGCCCTTCAAGGCTGTGGGTCAGAGAAACAGAAAAGAGAGGTGCAGGCACTAGACTGGGAAGCTGCTAGTCTCTCTGGTGTTAAGAAACGTCAACCACTGTGGCAGGGGACAGAAGGGGTCAGCCATCAGCACTTTCAGCTGTAGCCACCCCAGCACTGACACTTCAGGATTCAAATAGAGTTCATTCCACAAAAGCAATAGCAGCTATCTGCTGCCACCTTAGTTTAGTCATGCCAGGGAATATAACTGGAAACCTTGAGACAAACCAGGAGCCAAGACTCAGGCGAGAGAAATGGATAATGAGAACCACCTGGCAAGTTCCAATGACCTCCAGCAAAATGACAGCGTCCCTGGCTCTGTCAATCACGGGCACAATGTTCTCCTCTGATTCAGGGAATCAAACACGGGTGCCTGTGTGATGAGGTGCGCAGAGGAATGAATCAAACACACTAATGAAGGACAAGATGGCAGGTTCAGAGACCCCGCACCCTTGATTTGTAAATGATAGCCTGTTTTCTAATGTCTGGTCCTAAAAGCCCTTTCAGCTCACACCCTGAATGTCAGGCCTCCTGCTCAACACCTTCTATAGTGAGGTCAAGACCTAGGCCCTGCCAGCTCCTCAGCACAAGCCTGGGAAAGACAGTGTGCTCATTAAAATTGTTTGTGGATACTTGAGCCCGTCCACCTTTGGTGCAAATGGGCACAGAGATGCCATTGTGGGACCAGCTCCCGTCTCCAGAGCCATGGAGTGTAGACAGCAACTGAAATCCTTCTCCAGACCTGACCTTCTAGGTTTCAGGGCACGTGGCCAAGTTCAGGAACTGCAGAGTGAGGAGTGGAAGGCACAGTNTTCTCAGTGGCAGCAGCCTGGGCTCTGAGTGTCTACTCAGGTGCTAGCCCATATTCTAGAGCCTGGGATAGAAAGAGGGCCATGATTGGGCATGTTCAAAGCTTTGTCTCCTGCAGTACTCTGGGACCTGGTATCCAAAGGCCATGATACACAATGGCAGCCTATCCAGTCACAGCATACCCTTGAAGGTTTTCCCTGTGAAGGTAACAGCCCTGGAAGGAGGAGACATGGAGTCCGACGTTATATTCTGGTACGTGTACCCAGCTTTGGACCTCCTTAGTTGTCTGTCTCTCCCTTGCTATCCTGGCTATATGTTGAGTTTGGGAAAATAAAAATCTCCACCTTTGAGGGACACAGTCCCAAGCAGTTTCCAAAAGCAGGAACATGGAATTTAGGAGATCACCTAACCAGAGCTGAGTCACCAAAAGAGCTGAGAGGCTCCGCTCTGCTGCTGAGAGCAGGCTGACTGTGGACTTGTGTTTACAGGAAGAATGGTCAGTGTCATGAGGTTAAAATCCTGATGAAGAAAACTGATGAGCCTGGCAAATTCACCTCCTGTGAGTCCCTGTGTCTAAGGATGTCCTTAACCGGCAGCCCTTGGATAGATGGGTCCTTGCCTAGTCCAGCTTGTAGAACCGACCATCCACTCACTTTCCACGTACCAGAGAGAGGTTGTTGTGTAGTCAACCCTAGCATCTGACTGTGTCTTAGTCTCCTGCCTAGATCTCAGCTCTTGACCCATGAGAAAACCATGCTAAAGAGTGGAGAACCAAGCAGGGAGATGGATGCTCAGGCCTGGGTCCAACCTCAGCCCCCGTCTCTGAACATCTTAGTTGACCTTGACATCTTCCAAGAAATGACTCCTGTCTAACTATGGAGAGGATAAAAAGGCCAGGGCTAGACTAGACAGGTCTCCTGGGTGACCACCGAAGTGTTCCAAGGTGTTCCCTCACATGGTCTGCAATGGTGCCTCAAGGATAAGAGACTAAGAGTTTTTTCTGTTCACCTGCAGTTGACGACAAGAGGTTCATCTATATCACAGCGCTGCCGGTGAAGGACCACTACGTCATGTACTGTGAAGGCCATTTCCCTGGGAAGTTGCTTGGCATGGGAAAGCTCATCGGTGAGGTGCCATGGAGGCCCTAAGTCCTGTGTCTGGTCTCTGCTTCCACCAGCATGCCTGGCACTGGGGACTGAGAAGCCTTTTGGTTCTGTGCCCAGATTACTACCCAGGAAATGGGTGAGAGGGAGCATGGGGATTTTGTGGCCTTTGGAGACCTGAGCACTCAGGAACAGTCTCCATCCCTGGAGCCAGCAAATGCCACTTCCAGGGATCTCAGTCAAGGGTCAGGTCAAAGGAAGTGTCTTGACAGAGGCTTTAATGGAGGGTAGGGATCCTACAGGGTCAGGGGACAGCCTCATGCCCCTGAGATTCAGGGCTCTTACAGGTCTGTGGAGTATCCTGTAAATCTGCAGAGGTTCTCCCTAAAGCCAAAGGGTCCCTCACATCAGGGTGTCCACACCCAGTTCGTTGTTAACCACCAGGCTCCTCTCTCCACCTTTGTGTAGGTTAAGGCTCCCGTCCCTGTGTCTCTGGCTCTCTGCAGAGCTGAGCCCCACCCCTTAAGCCTGCCCCACCTCCACACAGGGAGAAACCCTGAGGAAAACCCAGAGGCCATGGAAGAATTTAAGAAATTTGTACTGCGTGAGGGACTCAAGGAGGAAAACATCATTGTACGAGAGTTAAATGGTGGGAACAGGACTGTCCATGCCTCTCTCTGTGTCCCCGGTGTCACTGCTACCCGTGTGTGGCCACAAACCATGTCTGTCTCTGTGCTTCTGTGTCCTCTCTGTGCCGGGTCTTATTGTCCCTTTCGTGTTGTTTGCTGTCTGTCCTTGTTCCCTGTGTCTCTGTGGCATCTCCAGCATTTCCTCAGGGTCATGCGTAACTCAGTGTCACAATGTCACAATCTGAGCTCTGTCCCTTGGTGTCCCCATGCACCTCCAAGTCTCCTGTGCTCTGTCCGCTCTCTCCATTGCTCTCTCTGTTTCCCTGGTTTCTGCACTGTACCTTCAAGGTCCTGTCACCTCTCCCAGGGTTGCCAGGCCCTGCCTCAGGTTTTGCCTGGGGGAGGGTCTGAGCCTCAGATGTGATGCGGTCCTCTACAGGGCCCTTCTCACTCCTGGTCTTCTTTTGGTTTCTACAGAGCACTGTGTGCCTGAAAGCTACTAGGGTAAGTCTCCCCCCACCCCACCGTGTCCCACCTCTAGGAATGTGGAGAAGCCTAGAATGTGGGGCTCAGTTAGTCCTTGTCCTCATCCCATCCCCACAGACAGGTGCTGTCACCAGGGAGGTGGCCCTGAGTGTAGTTTCCAGACAGCTAGGAAGTCCTTCCTGTTTGTCGTGATCTCTCCTAGTCCCTGGTCTCTGCCTTGCCCTGTTCTTCCCATTCTCTCCAGGGAGGCAGAGACCTGGGTGATCATGGGAGTAGTGAGGGATCTCTTCAAGGACTCTAGCTCCTAGCAGGGACCACATAGAAATGTGGGGAAAGAGATTTCTGTTCCATATGTGCCCTGGGCCATCCCTGTCCATGACTCCCTGACTGTCGCTCCTACAGAATGGGGGACTTATCTCTCTTTTCTCTGTCACAGCAGCTACCCAGGTCTGCACCTGCTGAGCAAGCCTTGCTGCCCAAACCTGACTGGGACATCCCTGTACCACACCTCTTCTGGACCAATCTCCCCATTGCCCGCCCCCCAATCCTTGTCCAACCCTCCCCCACCTGACACCAAATAAAGCCTTTTAGCAGTCCTCTGGCTCAGCCTGTCTGTGAAGGGCCTTGTGTGGGCTTGAAGAGCCTGCTGGCAGCAGAGACATGGGAAAAGTACAGCGATATTGATGGGCTGGTGCCCAAGGAGCATGGCATCTGACTTTCCTGGAGAGCCATGTGAGGTCCTAGAGCCCCACCTGGTGAGCCACTGGCTGTTAGACTGGACCCTGTCAGGAGTGTCTGAGGAGCCCCCGGGGAAGCAGAGCTGTTAAGGTTCATCAGGGCTTTGGGCAGCGTGACTGTCACCGCTGAGCTCTTAGTCCAGGAGAACTTAGTGTACTTCCGGGAAGACCCCTCCTTGAGAAGCCTAGCTCAGTGACACTGTGGAGCTAGGTTGAGTAGCTCCTCCATCTTGTCCCCTCAGGAAACACCGATGCAGCCACATCTCCTCACAGCCCAGTTCCCCACTACAGGTCTCCCCCACAATTTTTCCAAGCACAAGTGTATAGGGATTCACTGGCCAATAGGGACATGGCCGCCACAGTGTGGGAGAAGATGCCCGACCCCAGGTCATCAGTACAGCCTCAAAGTGCAAACCCCATTATGCTGGCTGTCCAGCATGTCATCTCAGCTGAAGGTTGTTGGAACTCAGGCCAGTGCCTCTCAGCTCAATGACCCTCCAGTCTAACTCCGTCTGATTGGCTGTTGTCTCTGAATTCCTCTTCTTCTGGACCTAGCTCTTGCTGGGAGCTCTTGGAATTCCTAAGGAGGGGCTGCTCTGCAGGTGCAAGTGGGGCCTGAGGCATCCAGGACACTTTGAAGGGCAGGGCCAGGCCAGGCTGAATCCCACATACCAGGCTCTCTTTTTGATTGAGACAGGGACTATGCATGGATTTAACTGAGGGTCCCAGAACAACCTCAAATTCAAAAATTTGATGCTGTTTTCTTTTGTAATCAGTATTTCAGAAAAACTTCTTATTGAATCCAGAATATGCAGAGACTGCAATCTGACACCACACCCCACTACAGTGTCACAGCTCCCTGCCCCCTGCCGCAGGGCAGGGTCAGTACTGGGACTGAGCTGTGACCCTGGGCACTGGGTGTGAAAGCTCAGGGCTGAGACTGTGTCCTGGAGCAGTGAGCAGAATCCTAGCAGGACACAAAGTGGAGAGGCCTCCTCCTGCCAGCTGCCCTGCACTGAGCCTTTGCTGCCTTCCTGGGCTTCATTACTGCTGGAAGGGAAGCACCAGGGACTCCATTTGGGCAGGGACCACTTCCTTTCTTTGAACCTGGAACCCATTTTCCTTAAAGACATACTGACCAAACAACCATCTTATGGTTTGCTGTGGTCAGTTGGGCACTTGTGACCTCTAGGGAGCTTTTTCAGGTGGTCTGATCACGTGTTAGCGGCTGGGCAGATAGCAAGATAGAGCCAAAGGCACTTTAAACATGTTATGTCTACAACACTGTGTTTATGCAGGAATGCACAAGTTACAGCATAGCTGTGGCGGTCACGGGACAGCTTCATGGACACAGAGCTCTTTCCAGCTGTACCTGGGTTCTGGGATTGAGTCAAGTGGTCAGGGTGGGTGCATCTAGTGTGCTTCTCTCTCACCAAGCAACACTGCTGGTAACTATGGTGTTTTCTCTTTGCCACAGTTAAGCAACTAGAGGCTCCCAAGTCCGGGATCTTCATACTAATGTGTTAGTTTTCTGTGCTGTGCTAAAATACTCTGGCATAGCCACGTAAGGAAGGAGGGAGTTTTGCTCACATTTTCAGATCACAGTCTGTCAAGAAGCCAAGGTGGCAGCAGCTAGAGGGAACTGGTCACATCAAATCCACAGTCAAGCAGCAGAACTGGGCCAGCCAGAAGACTCAGTGTAAACCAGCTTGTCACTAAGCCTGACCCTTAGTTTGTTCCTCCTTTTTCACATGAGGAAGGAGAGGCTGCAAGTTGTCCTCTGACCTCTACACGGTGACCCTGTCATCTGAACACACACACAGGAATGCACACAC